ACTCCAGTTGAGACATTTTTCAGAGTGGGAGATTCTGAACCTTTGAACACAACAATCTATTGAAGTATTATTTTGGACACAAATACATACTCATATCGAAATTGTAATTCAAATAGCCCCTTAAGAAATTCCACTCCTTTAAAATTTCTCAAGCATTGACTTATAATTAATCCTAATTGTCACTAATTCTCAGCAAAGGTTATGAATGCCTGCTGCAGTAAACGCCTTAGAATGGTGCTAAGAGATTTAAGTTTCTATTGGGAAATTAACCATAGTCACAGAATGCAAGATATTTTCATGTCTTAATGCCACGTGAGCCGCAGTTTTGTGGAGTGGAAAATTTTACAAATGGCTTTCCATAAAACTGAATGTTTACTCTACCAGTAACTATTTATCATACTCTCAAATGGATTTCCCTTTTCCTCTTTATAGAAAACTAAGGAAGACAAAAATAGACATTTGTTGTACCATAAAGACTAATAATTAAACAGTGATAATTTTAAGCCATAAAAATTGGCATACTGAAAGGAATGTCTAGGTCATATAACTCAAAAGTATGTTACTGCCCATGAAATGACTGGAATTCAGGTTCCTCAGCATGGAAAATTATACAGATGTTTGTGTTATGAATTTCCATTTTTCTTTAGAACTGTTTATCACTTGCAAAGTATAATGTGACAAACGGGGGTGCTTAAATATTGAAAATACAGAAAAATACAAATGTAAAATAATTAACTATGTGACAATACTAAATAAATAATACTAACTAATAACATGATATCAGATGTTCAGAGTTTAAGATAACAGACAAACTTGCATGACTAAACTACACCCATACAAAGACAACTTTTAGTGAGGCTTCCTGTCAGTGGTCAGAGGAAATGTCTACATAGTTATTATTTATAGAATTAGACCGTGTTTTTGTAACATCCCCATATTAATTCACACCATACCATTAAAAAATAAGCATAAAGGGCAGAAGGGGGAAAATCAGATGAGACCTGTTAACTACTTCCACATTGCTCAAATTCATTAAATTTTTATACTTATACGTGTCTTTTGTTGCATAAGCCCCAACCTGTAGTGAACTTGACCCAACAGGAATTCTTAGCTGGAAGTAGTAAAACAAGGGGTTGTCAACAGCGGAGTGCATGTCTTACCTCTCCTGTTTGCCCATATACAACACTGGGGACAGATGAGGTAAGAACAACAAAGGAAAATTGTGTGACAAACTCTGTCAACTGAAGAGGTCAGGGGTTGTCTATGGAAAATTGTTCCACGCTCACTCTTCCACATGCTATAAGGAAACAGGTGCCAGAGTAATAATAGAGGACTATAAACAAATACTGTGTATACAGTACAGTATACAGAATGTACCCCCTGAGGTTCTATTAATAATGAGTAGTGCTTTATGACCGGACAACATAGGTCCAAGTCTGTCAACAGTGCATGGAGGTACAAGGTCTGTTTATATTTGTGATTGACATTGAGGATTGAAATTTACCCTGCAACATGCAGAGCCGTGTTCAACATGTTCTGCAAGAAGTAAAACTGAATACAGATTGGCATTCATATGAGAAATCAAAATATGATCAATCAAAACACCACAATAATAAAAAAATAAAAACATAAAATAATATATAAATTTGTGTTGCCATTACAAATATGGACCAGTCAGACATATTTTGATACACATGCTATTTGAAAACTGATTGCAAAACCTTGAAATGACTTTTCCCCAAATGAGTTGGATCTGCTGTATATCGACTGACGTAGATGTTGCTGCCCTAAGGTAACGGTCTGGCTTTGGCATTATGCAATAGCTTTCACCACTCGTCATGGACAGCATGTTCAAGTTTACTGTTTTGTTCCAATGTTTGATATATGATCTATGTTCTGCATCACCCCCTCCATAAAAGGAGAAGAGATGGCACCATTGCTCTTGGGCATTTGCCCATTCTTAGAAATTAGTAGAAGCCCTTAGAAAACCAGAGCCCATGTGATTTTGTGTTTTGAACTGTGGCCAGCTTTTTCAGTGCTGTGCCTAGCTTGCCACTGAGAATATTTCTACACTCATGAATCACCCATTAGTCTACGATTACGTGTCATTATTATCACTAATGTAAGTACAGCTTTAACTAATACTTTCACCAATACTACTACAATTACTGCTATTAATACTACTGCTGTGTTTACTGTTACTACTCCTACACCTATGACGTATGCTACAATTACTAACTAATTTATGCTGTACCTACTTCCCTATTATGTGTCATCAGGGTCATAATCTTATGTTAGCTGTAGCTTTAGCAGGTTACTTAGGTGAATTACTTGTGTATCCCGTAGTTTTCAACATCCCATTACCATCACTGTAAACAAAGGAATGGAGGTCATCAGCCTGCTTTACACGCAGCTCTCTCCACAGCTGCACGTCACAGCATTTGTGTTTCCAGCGTCCCACTCTCAGATGAGATCATGTGAGGTGACATCCCCCTGTGCTTTTGCTGTGCTGTGAAATAGAGCCAGCACTACAACATGTGGTAATGTTTGCCACTCCACTCTTCAATCTGCCCCGCACGTGGCTCCATGGAAACCATCCACATGGAGCTGCACTGGTCCGCTGTGCTAAGTCAACTGGAAGTAATGTCATGCTGTGAATAAAAATAGCATCAGTTTGTATTTGACCAACCAACAGTAAATAGTTTATTATCTAAAATGTCACAACCAAATCAAAGGCACCACAATGGACATAATGACCTTTTTTAATTATTATTATTCATTTTATTATTATCTACTTTCTGTAGAAGTTGGACTTACCATGTAACTTTTCTGGTGAGGGTCCAATATTGTTGCTTGTTTCCATGCTTTGCATGCATTGCTTTGTTGGGAGAGCTCCAGAGTATGGCATTTATTTGCATTTATTTCAACAATAGGTGATTTTATTGCTGAGCAGACCTCTCCACAGACCTGACATGTCACTTGGCCCTGTGGCATCACCTACTTGTCTCCGTAGAAATATTGTGGAACATTATAGACAGAATAATATAAACTCCATGGAGACAAGCAGATGTTAGAGCCTCTACCACAAAAGCTGTGGTCAGTTTACTGAATACTCTGGTTACAACTTATTTGGTTCTTGTTTCTGAAAAGGATATTTCACATCAGTGGTGCTGAGTCTGGGCAGAGGTCAGGCCAAAGTAGAGATCATGTCTGGAAAAATGTACAGTACATACAATATAAGCTTAATCAGACATCTGTTACATGCAGCAGTAAATGTAGTTGTATTCCTATTTATTAATATATAAAGTTGCTCTGTCTAAGCCTATGCATTATATCTTATCTATGTATTATATTCTTTTGTGATTAAGGGATGCAACTTATCAAAAGAAATAACCACTGACTAAAGAGAGTTGACTACTAAATAAAATAATCATAAGTTATGGCCCCATACGCCCTCACTATTTGCTACAAAATGTGCTGTTTTATCTTTTCTGATCCTTTATCTTCTTCAGAACCTAATAGAATGTCCAAACATCATTCTACTTATTCACATTCACCAAACTGACAGTGATTCTCTTCTCTGGTCCAGTTTTTGACCTAAGCATCTTTCACTTACATCAAATGCTGTCAAGATGTTGTAGACACAATATACTATTTGTAAAATTTTCCAAAGTTTTGAGCAAACATTCTTCTACACATTTTTTTTTTAATTTCTAAGGGAAAAATTAAACAGTGAACAAAGGAAAGGAAACTGAACAAAAACTTGATATTGGTGTCATTTGAAAACAGTTATTCCCTATTACTGATGAAACAAGGGCAATCAGAGATAGCAACCTGGTCCCCCATAAGGCATCGGTGGGGGCAGTTTATCTCCACAGAAGCCAGCTTATGAGGAGCCCAGCCCATACCCCGGGTATGTGTGTGCCAACTTGTGTGATGATTGGGTGAATATTTTAGCCTGCAGATGGTTCAGAAATTGCAGAAATTGCCTATCCTTTATAATGGTGTGACCATTCAATTGACCCGTGTGACCTCAAATCACTTTGGATCGTCACCAAACTTTTTTTGTGGCATCGGGCATGGGGGCTTGACCCATGTACTAAATTTGGTGACAATCGGTCCATAAATGGCAGAATTATTGTGGGTGGACAGACACACACATACACACAGACACACAAGGTGAATATAAAACCTGGTCAACCCTTAGGGGACCAGGTAATTATATTAAGTGACTTGATAATAAAATGGAGTTAAGATATTCCAGTTGCACAGTACAACAAGTGACAGATAAAGTGGGGAGTGGCATACTTGGGTACAGGCAGGTTCTCTGTAAGCTTCTAGGCATTTCTGTCAGACATGCCGCAACACAGTGTGGTGTGATCCTTTGAATATTTTCAGAATGTGTAATTTTCTCTAGGACGTTTCCGTGATAGAATAAAGTAAGACAAGCTTCCAGATATTATCTTGCAGTATCAAAGAACAAATAATTCTATCATTGTTGGAGTACGTCCAATAGTGAATAATCTGTGTTAACATCCACTGTAGTATTTAAAATAGACAGGAAGTCTGCAGATAAGATCAGTTATTCTCTTAACGGTTAAAGTTGGAAGTTGTAAATGCCATTGCTGCGAGTCACTATTAGCAGAGCATATCAGTCTGAAAGACTCACTGGGTTTGGACTTACAGTTCCCTTCATTTATATTTCGTCACTCCAGTTTCCAATTTCATCATTACTGTAAAAGCTGGAATTTTCAGTGGTTTAAGGCTATTCTGAAAACATCTGATTTGAAATATTTGAGCTACCAACAATAGCATATTCTGACAACTTGAAGTCATGGACTGTGTGTGCACCAGTCTCACACAAGGCAGTGATCATATAATAGTGTGTTTATCTTTTACTAGCTTAAGTGAGTTTAAACTGCAAAAACAAATTTTTAAAAACAAAACACCTATAGCCTTATATCTCATTCCTTGATTTTACATGAACACAAGGAATTAGTAAATAATGTGAATTTATTTTTTCTTCCAAAAAGTTATTTACATTATGTACACTGACACACCCACAAATGAAGCATTATACAGGTACAAAAGGTACAGAAAATGTGTGTGTGTGTGTGCAATGAGATGAGAATCTCTTCAGTGTTTCATCAGTAATCTCTCAGTAACAACATACAACACAAGCATTACAACTCAGACATAGCAAATACTGCATTAAACAAATGTCTCATTGTGGAGTGTGCTTTCATAAATAACATTGGTCTTGCAGTGCTTTCATTTTCTTATAAATAAAAATAGTTTAAAATGTACAGTACCACGACTACAAACGCTGGTGTCCACAGACATTTAACTATATTCTACTTCACTAGTCCACACCAAAGAAACGTCCTGTCATCAGGCAGTCCCGACACAGCTGGGAAAGCCTTTGTGCTTCTCTGCTCCTGCTCTGGGCAGAAACAGCTCACTGTCAATGGAAACTGCAGGTTCAGTACAAGGCCTCCATCCTCCTGCTTTGAAAAGTGCTTGTTCCAGAAGCCGTGGCTTCTCGTCTCTACAATGGGTCCCCAAGGTGATGGTGCATTGGTTGTTGGAAGTGCTAAGTCATTACATTGGCAGTCTGTGAATTAGAAATTGGATTTAGTCTTCTCTTAAAGAGGTCAAAATGAAAAGTACTTTTTATATGTAGTTACTGTTCATACCGTTTTCTTGGTTTTAATTCCCAGCCATCATGGCATTTTACAAATGTTAGGGACTCTCCTGGTGAAATGTCCATTTTTGACTCGTCTGAGACACAAAATGTAAACCTGAAAACACATAATTTAACAGTGGTGAGGATTTTAGGTTTTTTTAGACAAAATGCTGGTTACTTCTGCTTGGATTTTACATACTTCTTTTGGGTTTCTCCGGCTTTCACACGGATACGCCGCACTTGTAGCACTGGTTTGTTCAAGCTGGTATTCCAGGATAAGAAACTCTTCCTAAAGCTTTTCCAAACTGAGCTCCAGGACTCCCCTTCTCCTTCCCAGCTCAACTCAATCTTCAACAGATCGCCAATGTCCTCTTCAGTAAACACCAAAAAGGTGTTAGTGGCATTCAAACCGATTTTATTGTCAGGGCTACAAAAAGAAAAATCCAAAATCAAAAGGCCTGAAGTTAAATACCATAGTTCTAAATGCCATAACAGTGCATACTTACACTTCTACATATATGCCACTTGTATCGTTGTGGGCACCATACAACTTCACATGAAATGTGGGATCTGGATCAACAGACAGTTTCCTGTCAAACACATGCATCTTCATCTGGTAGTGGAAGCCTAAGATAAAAAAAACAAAACAAACATATATATGTATAAAAATCTTAAGCAATCACATTGGTAGTTTGCATGTGTTATAGACTGAGGCACAGATTTGAGTAACTCACCTCCAAATGGAGTGTCAGCACGGGTCTTCAGGTACATTTTGGTGTTGCGTCTCTTGCGCATCTTTCTAGCATTGTAGCCAATATTATTACAGCGGTTTTTGCGACAACTGAGACATATACCCTTCTTGAAGCGATCTGGCCCGGTGCACTGGAAGGCGTAGCTCATGTGATCTTTATTCATAAGCGAGTCCACGAACAAGTGCACAGCTCGCTCATGTTCACATTTCACAACCTCCATGAAATCTACAGGAAGAAATGCATCTCCATTAACAAACCATAACATATGAGATTATAGAAAATTATTTTGTCTGTCAAACTCACTTCCAGCCACTGCCAGCACATCACCAATTGCACACCCAGGCTGCACATCGCCTCCATTAGGGTAGATGTCAATATCCCCAATGGGCTGCTGGATACCGATGCTCACTCCCAGGGCCTCACGGGTATAGGTGTGGAGCACATCCACAAAGTCTGCATCATCGGAGGAGAGGCGCTTCTGCTCATCTACCCCCTCAAACATGGGTCCAGCTGGGTCCAGGCCTAATCACACAAGCTAAGATTATTAAAACGTAGCTAGAGAAAGATCTTCAAGCCTTAATATTAGACATTTTATGCATTTCATACCCGTGATTCTTCCAATGGTTCCTTGTACAAATGTCCCTGCGTAGCCTGCTACGTGTGCACCAAGACTGTATCCAATGAGGTGGACATTTTCCAAAGGCAGTTGCGTTTCATCCTAGAAAAGAAGACAAACCTTCCACTTAGTTGCTGCCATTGTGAATACTGATCAGCATGAACAACCTGGACTTGAGCCAACTATAATCCGTCATGCTCACATCTTTCCTGCTTTAGGTCGGATCTACTACACACCGTCCCTTCATGCTACAGCGCCTCCACCATCTGTCCTAGTTTGTCTCCATGAAAAACTCTTTTGTTTCTGTTTACAACCAACTGGCAGGCAGATTTTCACTTTGTGTACACACAAATTTTGGGACAACTCATTTTAAAGTGAACTGTTACATGCCAAAGTGGTGCACGAAAGACCTTAACCTAAATACACAGGTTGGCAGTAAAGTTATATAAAAAGAAAACTCATGTGTTCTCCTGTTTTATTGCACATGAAATTGCGTGTCAAATGCCTTCCAGGACATATAGTAATGTTGCCTCAAGTCTGATCATGACAGCTTCACAAATCATCTTAAGAACTGAACACATGGGAACGTACGGTATCCATTTTCGTCACAAGCCTAAATACTAGAGACACCTAACGTTTATAATACACAGAAGGTAGCATAAATCTAGTACGACCTTGGCTTTGGTAAGCAAACTTCACACATTATAATGACCAAAAAATAACTGTGTGTAACTGACACACACAGACACACACAGACACACACACACGACACACACACACACACACACACGCGCACACACACACACACAAAGTTTAACTTACCTTGAGCCAATCGAGCATGTCCGCTATACTTTGGCCCACATTGCGAGTATGGTTCACAGCATCAGGGTAGAGCTGCTGTGCCATTGATATCCAATCAACCACCACCACATTGGCCTCAGTTTCTCGCTGCATCACAGCAGAGACAAGCTTGTGCATCCAGTTCTCAAACATCCCACTCATCTGTGAAGAGGAAAACCCAGGTCAATCAGTCCACATGACCCCAAGGACCTTTACACAGGACAGATGCAAAGCTGTCTCTCATTCACTTGATACATTCTTCCTTTGATAGAAAGGATACAGTTGAATATTGCAGTTTATACAACAGATCAAATTTTATATGAGGGGCTGTACAGTAAATGCAATGGTGACCTATATATCTTGAAGCTACTTTGAACTTACTGTCCAGCCATGGATGATAAAGATGCTTTTGGCTGTAGCATTGAAGCCACATTCTTCTAAACACTCTTTTTTGCCCATCTGTAGGTAGCAGCCCTCCTGCTCCAGATCTAGGCTTTTTCTCATGTTGAATTTAATAGGGCCTTCTTTGGACTTGCTGCTCGTTGACAGTTCATCAAGATCACTGGCTTCACCTAACAAGCAAAGCAAGAAACATTTAGAGACTTAGACGTTTTTTATTTAATAAAAATATTCAGTTCTAATCTCAAATGGCATTTGAAATCTGATGGAAATCTAGTATCCACTTCTTGATTATGTTAAATCAATTAGTTCTTGTGCAAGATCCACAACAAAATGCACTCAAGGTTGTCACTGTCACAAGATTGCAGGCACATTTTAAACTATGACAAAGTAGGCCAACTATTCAGCTAAAGCCATTAAGCCATGAGGAGTTTATACATTTACATTTATACATTTACTGTTACATTTATAGTTTGGGGAGAGTGGGTGTTACTTTTGTATAATCAAACCATTTAGTCTATTAAAAATGGGAGTTGTCGGAGTGATTTGATTCCAGACGCGCAAAGCCAATTGTCATATCCGAGGCGGTGAACGCTCTGCCCTTTGGTGGAGCCGGCTAAATTATTTCAGCTGGGATGAAATTTTATAGAGACTAAACTGGTCTGTGGTAAAACGTGGGTTCAGCGTAACCCTCTTCCAAATATTTCCCACAGTCTTGCTATCATGAGTTACTCCCAATAAGGACACGTACTGATGCTACTGAATCCATTCCTGCTTTTCACGCTCACTTTCTGCCGCCACACTTGTTCACATGCAACTATATCAAGCAATAAAAGAAATAAATCCCAGGCGACAGAACATGTAGAATATTATAGACTAAGCGCAGAGTCGTATTTTTATTAAAACTGGGTCTAGTGTCCAGTGGCAGCTGTGCGTAATTTGGACCTGTCCGTTAAACTCAAATGACTGGAAAATGAAAATAGAATGAATGAACAATGGACAAAAAAACAGGCTCTTACCCTTAAGCACGGCGTTTTCCCCAAAAACTGAAGACACGAAGGCGCACTGTAGTAAAATCCACAGTGAAATTACTTTTTGAATCATTTCTTGACCTCAAGAGAATACAGAGAGATTGTAGCTTCCCGGTGAAAATGTGCTTTGTAAATGGTAGCTTGGTGAGGTGTGTGCTTAAATATCCAGGGCGACAAAGAGCCGGTGGCGTGGTGCGTTTGGTGCGCACTAGTGAGGTGCCGCTCAAGAAATGTATTAACTGGCATCAAGTGTCTCATTAGAGTTTTAAATAGTTTCTCCTTTTCAGTCATCTGATCATCGGCTGATCTATGGTGAATTCTATTGGTCAAGCCCCCGTTTGTTTACGTTGAAAGGCGTGGCAAAGTTGAATGAAGTAGTAGTATGGGCGTCTCACGTTGCGCGCGCCGAAGCTTGTGGTTGTTTTGGGGTGTGTACCTGTACTTCTGACGCAAGATGCTATAAATTGTAACCGTTCATGCATGAAGAAGGTCACCTACCGCTTTAGCTCGTCAAACCTGATTCTTACATGGCGTAAAGATAGTCTGGTCAGAAAGTGTTCAATGGCTCAAAAATGGATAACCTAACCCACCGAAAGTCCTCAACTTAATACAGTTCTGTAGATTTTAAGTGGGATTCTCCGCGTCCCCTGTGCTGCCTGCGTATGGTGTAGTGCGGTGTCCCGTGCAGAGGGATTTACCACCCATAGACATTGAACCCTGGTGGCTATGGGCGACGTGCCAAAGCCAGTTCAGCGCACAATAGGCGATTCAAATAATAATAATAATAATAATAATCATAATAATATATACACACACACACACACACACACACACACATATATATATATATATATATATATATATATATATATATATATATATATATATATATATATATATATATATATATATATACACACACATATATAATCTCCTCTACTGCTGCATTGTTTTCTTAATTAGCCCATATATGCAGCTTTCAGTAGTGGTCCTAATTGCCCATGTGTTAATAAGCATATCATAATGCTCGTGCGAGCAGCAGGGCAAAGCTGAGAGGTTACTGGAGTTCAGTGATGCAGTGTGTGATACAGGCCATATTGGAATGCTACATACTAGACAATGATTTTTATAAAGCTAACAACCTATAATTTTATCCCACTTGGTGTTTTTCATAACCTACAAATTTGAGGATGAGGATATTTTGTGATTTTACAGCAATCTTTTATTGTAGAAAAATCCCTTTTTATTGCTTTTTTATTGTCTTTTCTTTAAAATATCTCTTTATTTAAAATTAATTGAACTGTTATGTTTATGAGCCTATAACAAGTTAAAAGTCTTGGCTAATGGGGGTATATCATATATAACCTATTTCCAAGAAGGTTCCCTCATATTGGCCTGGCCATGGTTGTAACAAATTTCATATGTAGAATCCAATATTCTGTGATTAGGCCCGGAATTTAATTATTTATTTTACACAAATATGCATATGAGAAAATTTGCATGTTAGCTATATTTTAACTGCACCTATATGTCTAACAGGACCCTGACATTTTGTTTGCTAGTATAGACTTTATATAGATTTTTAAATGACCAATTTGACTTAACCCTCGTTGCTAAAGTAATTTGCACTTCCTTTGCACAAAAAGCACATAAAGCTGTATTTCAGGGATTAGCTCAAACTGAAGTGATAGCGCCATCGTGTGTCCAAAGGCCCAGGTTGCAGTGTACAGTGACACAGCAGGAGACGCAGGGGGGCAGTGTGCCAGAGCGGATCCTTCATGAGGGAAGAGGCCAGGGACAGCCAGCCAGCCCCGGCTTCTCCTCTCTACACCCACTTTATTTTGTATTCTACGCCGGGGAGCCCGAGCAGGGGGCTGCATCAGTATTCATAGGATGTCCCGTCATGAAGGTAAAATGACATTCAAAACAGATTAAAAGCAAGTCAATGTTTGCTATCGGAAATAATAAAAGAGCGCTGCTAGCTAACGTAAGCTAGCCACGAATGTCTTGTTTGCATCCATTTCAAGCTAACACTTGCTAATGCTATCTGCAAGTCTGCAGAGTCAGTTTGCAAGAGCACAGCTTGGTAGTCATCTACTGGTGGATTGATCCTTTAACAGGGGGTCTTGTTCGTCACGTTTGATCGTTAATACACGTAACAGGTTAATTCCTATAACCAAAACAACATTGACAAACATGCGGAAGAGACGTGATAATGTTCGCTACTGTTAGCTACGTACTACTGGCGGTGCTCAGCCTGCTGTAGGTTACCCATGGACAGGCTTGGAGCAAGGGGAGTGCCAAACACCGGAGAGCAGCGCAGCCACGGCCCTTTGTCAGACCTTTGAATTATTTGACAGTGTGTTCTTGGTGAAAGGACTTGTGTATTCGAGTGTATTTGAGTTCTGGCATTAGTCGGTTCGGCAATGGCAGTGCAACATATCCTCGTCCTTGTGACCAACCTTGTTGAGCCCGAAGTTTCCTTTGATGTCAGACTGACACGAGCTGTCATAATCTCTGTCTGATCAAACCCCTCTGTGGGTCAAAAGTTGAGTGAAGTCTTCAGGTCAGAGCACACTGACGAAGTCTGAACACTGTTTATTGAAAATAATGGTTTGTTAAGTCCTGTGTTCTTCAAATAGTGTACTGGTTTTAGTCAACATTAAGCACAGCATAAACATGTTACTCCATTTTCATATGAGACCCAAGTGTGACCACCAGAGCTGAGGGCTTTCACAAACTGCAGATGGGGGCACTATAGACATCCTGCTGGTGTCATACAATACACTTGACTGCACGACTGTCCAAGTCAATCAAGAATGGGGTGCACCTAACATAGAGCATACCATTTGTGTACATTGACATGAAGTTGGTTTGTTATGTTGGACACATTTCTCATCAGAATGACCTCATAACACATAACACATAATTGTGTTTTTATTTTCTTCCTTTTAGATCAGGATTTGTAGTATTTGTTATTAATGAGAATAGAGCTTGAGTTGAGATCAGCGCTTCATCAGAGCTTTTCATTAGCAGCAAAAGTAAATGTGTATATATAAAAGTTAAGTTTAATCTTAGGGTAAACAAAATTATCAGAGATTTGCTGATGCAATACCAAGCTCTTTACTAAAACCTACTGTTGCTGTTTGATGGTGTATTTCTCTTACAAACTGTGAAAATGGTATCTACCACTGTTACTGATGTTCCTTGTATTCCTCTAGGTGTCAGCTGTGATGCATGTTTAAAAGGCAACTTCAGAGGCCGGCGATACAAATGTTTAATTTGCTACGACTACGACTTGTGTGCGTCGTGTTATGAGAGCGGTGCAACAACAACCAGACACACAACAGAGCATCCCATGCAATGTATATTAACAAGAGTCGACTTTGGTAAGCCTGACACGTGTCACACTGTGAAATTGTTTCCACTGTTTTTTAAATATTTAGGTTGTCATTTTTTTGTCACACTGACTGTTAAGACAGTGTACATCACAATATTGAATTATCTCAAAGCCCGTTGGATTTTTTTTTTAAACAGGAGCCATTCTTTAATGTAGCTGATGATTTAAAATTTTACATGTAAAAAAAACAACTCTCCATTGGTTCAGACTAGGGATGTCACAGTTATACAGTTACTTGTGATTGCAGATTCCAATAGTAAGAAGAAAATGAAAGCCGCAAGCGGCATCAAACACCCCCCTGCACACTCGGCCAACCCACTACCTCTCAGGGTGGCGCTAACACGCAATTTGTCTCTGTCTTATTATATATGTTTTATTTGGGCTTTACTTGTCACTAAACACACAAAGTCAGCACACATTGGAGTTGCTGATGTGCTAACATAGATAAGCATGGGCATTTGGGACATCGCCATGGCAACACCGTGCAAAATATGACTCTGGTCCCCTGGACTTTTTTGATCGGGATGACATGAAGAGTTATTATGTGAAATTTAAGAATATCCCGCAATTAGTAATATTTTTATCATGAATGGGAATTTTTGGAATCTCTCCCATTAGGATAACATTGGTATTTTCGTGCATCACTATGGCAGCACAGTTAAAAATACCATGTTTTACATTGACTTTTTTTATTGAGATGACCCAGAGTAATTTTCTGCTAAATTTTGTACATTTTCGAAAAACTGACATTTTGACCCTCCATGCAAAATTTGATTGTGTTCTGTAGGGGGCGCTATCGTGCAGTTTTTGTTTATGTGACAGTTAGTAGGTTTTGGCAAGAAAGTTTTACAACTAATTAAAATTTGAGCCAAATTGGACTTTGTATGCATAAACAAGACAAAATTTGGACATTGGCAAATTAAAAAAATTCTGAATGAAATTTGCAGCTTTGCTGCACGTAAACTGTTATCAAGACAGAATTGCCAAATTTTCTATGCCCCTTCTCTAGATGATGTGCAGTGATTTTCAGCCCCTTTCTCTGAAGCTCCTTCAGAGGAGTCTTCACATGATGAATGTGCGTACCGAATTTCGAGTCCCTACGACAAAGTTGATGTTGGAATGTCTCCCATAGGCACACTGTATTTTGAGTTTTCCAGGTGGCACAGTCTTGCTATTTTGTATGCCCATGCATACAACACATATATCAAATTTTTCAGCACATCTGAATTTTGGGCAAATTTGGTGAGTTTTGTAACATATTTAGGTTAGCTCTCAAAAAGCTGAAAAATAAATAAATAAATAAACAAACACATAAAAATAATATATTTTGCAAAAACAATACATTTGTTAACATGGGAACAGCATATTGTAAGTTTTTTGAAAGCTCTCGACTTTCTCCACGTTGCCCATTGACTCAGTATTGAGTATTACATGTTAGCAAGAACAAATATGCATGTCTCATGCCTTTGACATGGTTTGGTAGGATACTGCTGTTAATGCAGGGGGCAACCAAGGGACTAAGTCTTTTACTTAGTATTAAATATTTGATAGACCAACAACTTCTACAGTTACCACTGCATTTGAATGGTTTTTAGTATTGTTTAAAACTGCTGCATACATGTAAAATTTTTCACCATATCATTGGTATGGTACCCCCTTAAATAACAGTGGTAATAAGTACTTGAGTGTAATGAGATTATGTGGTTCTGACTGTTGGTCTGTTGTGCCCTCAGACCTGTATTACGGAGGAGAGGCCTTCTCGGTGGAGCAGCCTCAGGCCTTCACATGTCCATACTGCGGCAGGATGGGCTACACAGAGATGTCTTTGCAGGAGCATGTGGCTGCTGAACACACAGAGACCTCCACAGAAGTGGTATGTTCAAATTTGGCCCTAGTTTTATATGTGTATGTAATATGGCTGATTAGGGAGGGTCTATCAGAGATATCTGTGTCCCCAGGTATTGGTACAATCTTGAAAATTATACAATCTTGAATCTTGGTACAATCTTGAAAAAAAAAAAAAAAAAAAAAAAAAAAATATATATATATATATATATATATATAATATATATATATATATATATATATATATATATAATATATATAATTTTATTTATTTTTTTCCCAGTCCTGCCCCAGTCTGTGTGTACCCAGATTCTCATCATTCTCAGTTTGTTCACAGATTTGTTAGTTTTGAACAGAATAATGAGTAAATATATGGCTGTGTTTACACAGTCATGCAACAAATCAAAAATAACAGATATGAACTTTTCTATAACCTAAATTTGTGCCTCTTGTTATGGTTTTTGTATTGGCATATAATGGTTACTGGGCAGAACAAGGACACACATGAGATATCAGATATTTTGACTGTTTGATGTGTTATTTGGAACGTGATCTGTGACTTTTTTTAATGGGATGTTTTTTGTGTTAGATCTGCCCCATATGCGCAGCGTTGCCAGGTGGGGACCCAAATCATGTGACTGATGACTTTGCTGCTCATCTCACACTTGAACACAGAGCACCTAGAGACTTGATATCCTTTGACTCTTACCCTGTGGTTTATTGCTATGCATTTTTTTGTTTTTGGTTTTATTTATCATACGACCAATTGGTAGTGTGGATGCAAAATGACTGCATGGTTTTCTAATAAGGCTATACTATATTATGAAGAAAAAGAAGCTTTAAACTGTTGTGAAAGTATTGTTCCTTAACAGCAATTTGCACGATGAATCCAGTGGCGTCAGGCACGTCAGAAGGATGTTTCACCCAGGTCGTGGGTTAGGGGGACCCCGAGCCCGTAGGTCGAACATGCACTTCACTAGCAGTACCACAGGGGGGCTCTCTACCAGTCAAAGCTCCTCACAGAGCTCCAACTACAGCAGAGAGGCCATGGATCCTATAGCAGGTCAGCTTGACACTACATGCACTACACACCCCACACAATACTAGTGTAGTGTTTACTCCAATTTAATATTCACTCAATGAAAGTCACAGAATGTGGCAATGGTTTTTGCTGAAAAATAAACAAAAAACTAACTTTGGCCATGTCATTACTTCTAGGCTTAAGTGAGAACTACGTTTACTCTGACAGACAATCATAACGCTGTTGAATGCCCTGTCTTTACTTCAAATCAAACTTTAATCTTGTCTAAACTATTTGCAAAGACAGGTGAAGTTGTAAAAATTCCAAAGGCATGTCATTGACAGTAGTATTCTTACATTTATTGTCTTTGCTGTTGTTTGCAGAGCTCCTGTCCCAGTTGTCTGGAGTGCGGCGGTCTGCAGGGGGTCAGCTCAGTGCAGGTCCTTCAGCCTCTCAGCTGCAGCAGCTGCAGATGCAGTTACAGTTGGAGCGGCAGCAGGCGCAAGCGGCACGCCAGCAGCTGGAGTCTGCCCGAAATGCCTCTCGTATCTCTGGACGCTCTAACGCCATTCTGTCCAACTCCACCGCCACGAACCCCAGCACCAACATCATCCCCAACGCCAGTCCAAACCCAGGACCCCCAGAGCCCTCACAACACACTGCACACAGCTCCCAGTTTCTACTCAGCAGGTGCTACACTCACTCAATATTCAAGACAAAAATAATGTAATGTAAAATATGTATTAGCCATAATATTTTACCTTGTCCTGCAAACTGGATTATTACAAGATGTGAGTTTTCTAAGGAAAATTCATCTTTTTAAGGTTTCCAATGAACGTTTTTTTGTCTAAAACAAACCAAACCACATGGCAGCACGAACACGAGTAGGCGGGTAGCCGGCAAACACTCCTCAGAATCAGTCTTCAGATAATCAGCACTGTTATTATGAGCATAGGTAGTAATGTTTATCTAGGTTTTCATCATAACTTATCTGTGTTCTATATGAACCCTGAAGTGCTTGACTTAATAAAGTGTCCTCTGTGCTGTGCAGGCTCAGTGAGCCGCGGTTGTCTGAGGTGGAGCGGCAGGCGTGTGAGGCCCAATGGGCAGACCGGAGCCTGTTTGTCACGGAGTTGCTGCTGTCCACTCTGCTGCACGACGAAGATGCTTCCGCCTCTTCCTCCGAGGATGATGATGACGGCCATGCCCCCGTGAGGAATTTTGCAGATTTCCAGGCCATGGGCTGCGTAGAGGTCATGACCTTAGATGTGGCTTTGGAGAACCTCAATCTTAGAGAGAGCACGACAGTGTCAAGCAAGTCAACGAAACCCACGACTAAAACAGCACCTATGAAAAAAGAGCCCCCTGCCCCTCCCCTTTGATGACCTGATCTTTGCCTCCGTAAACACCATTGTGATGGCTGACCACACGTCTGCCCAACTGCCAATGGATGACAAAAAACTGCAGATCTTTTTGGCTTTTTTAGTGATTGTCATTTCAGCTCTGTCACTCACTCTCAACCCCATGTTTATTAAGTTGTGTACACTGAATAAAAGTAGTGAGACGAGAGAATGTGAGAGCAAGCGTGGTGGGTGCGTGGAAGAAAGTAAATAACTTTATAAATATATTATAGAAAAAAAATCTATTGGAAAGTTGATAATCAGTTCCACATAAGGTCTTTTCCTTTGCAAATGAGCAAATATAGTCTTTTAAGAGAGAGACGTCACCTTCACCCGGGAGAGGAAGCAGACAGAACGCTGTCCTGTTTAAACGCTGCTGTATTTATAGTTAGTTGTTAAAGAAGTGCTTGGATGGTTTACCACAACTTAAGCATGAGCTTAAATCACCATGTGCCCATTTTTATCTGCACCGTCACTAAATGGGGAGGACCTTTATGTTCACGCACACCCGAAGAGCTGTAACTAACGGTGCTATTGCCTCAGTGGTGGCATTTCTGCACCAGTACTTGTACACAGACTGATGGCTTTGGTTGGTCTTATACATGTCCGGTTTAACTCCCACTCCCTTTATGTGACATCACCTGTTTTGGGTCATGTGACCTTGCTTTATATTGACTGGACACTTTGCGGTTGCATATCCAATGTCTATATGTGTACACTACAAATGCTTTACATAAAGGCGATACATGACAGACAAAAACATGAACATTGTCTATTCTCTCTGGCCTTTCTAAATGGAAGAAACACGCCCCCTAGTCTTCTTACAGTTGCTTTTTCCCCTTCTTTCTGAAGACCAGATGCATCCACCTCCAGCTTCCTGTGATCTCAAATTAATCCTTTGTTGATTAGTCATGAATGCAAAGATGACTCATGTGACTTGAAGGATAATTCTGTATACTCTTTCATTCATGAATCACTCAAGAACTTTGTATGCCTCCACTACTACCTGAAGAAATGCAATGTATGTTTTTTGGCTCAGCACACAGGCCAAATCACAGGGTAAACTCAAGTGTGGAGGACAATAAAATGTTTTGGATGGAAACAAATTAACCCAAATCTGTGTTTGTCTTTTTGCTATACATCTGCAACCACAATATGAAAGTGATCTTAATGGAACTGCAGTGGTTAGTAACAGTGACTGAATTATAACTGAGGGCAAGACCATAAATAACAGCAGCCCGGAAGCAAATGGCTCATTCATCAAGTCTTTAAAGGTTACTGCAGCAAACCAAATGAACCCAGATTATGCAGAGTTTGGAATCTCTTCAAGGGGATAAAAGTCACTGGTGGATTTTGAAAAATGACAGGACACGCATTTCATCTTTCTTTGTAATTTTAATTCCCATAATTTACTTGAATGCAGACATCTTACCACTAAAATTTTAAATAAAACATTACAGTACGTAATATGCAAATCAAAGGAGCTTAAAGATTTGTAGAAACAGGCTACAGATTTATTGTTTTTTTTTTTATTCATTTATTACTGTACTTTGTAGGACTAGACAGTCAAATAGCAGTAAACAGTAAAAGACAACACAGCTGTTAAGCCTGCAGGCCAGCCAAGGAGCACATTCTGAAAAACGGACCACAAAACAAATAAGACAGCAGCACGCCATATCCGGAGTCTGCTTCACCGGGACACCCAGGGACCTTTCACAATTACACTGTGTATTGCGCATTCAGGGAGGAGGGAATGACACGTTTTCCCCATAATTAGATCAAAAGAAGTCTTAAAAGATGCAAGAACAGGGCTCCCTCAATGGCAAACGCATAACTAGTGACCAGTTACAAGGCTGATGTGAATGTCCCTCTCAACAGGGAAGTGCCCCTCCCAGTGGCTGCACACCATTATATTTGTCCAGTTTTGCTGACAGTTCTTATCATTAGTCTGTATTTTTTTATGTAGTCAACGTCTGGTTTCAGCCACCAGGGGGTGATGTTTGCGTTCCCCATTCATTTGAGCAGTGCCTCCCTTTTGGCCTATCAGGACTGAATGCATGAAAACAGCAATGACAGTGAAAGTTACAAGGGCTTAAGATCCAAACCTACCCATTTATTTAATCCTATACAGTGTTTGACCAATTTAAATGACAAGTGAGCAGAGCTAGGCGACTATAGAGAATACGGATTAATAGTTATTTTAATCTTGAATAAAATTATATTTTGTTGACACTAAGTCATTTCTTGCTACTTGGGCACTTAAGGTAGAAGCTTAACACATTACATTAATAATGGAAATAGCCTACCTAGTGACCTAGTGGACTCCAAACATTTTGGGGCTATGGGTCAGTGAATCGGGAATCTGTCTGGACTTTGAGCCTTTGTAAATCACATTAAAACTATTGAACCAAAACTTTTCAGTGTCCAGTTATTAGTTTCCAATTGAGCTCAACAGTGTTTTAATCTAACAGCTCATGAAGCAACAGGGAAACAAAATTACAAAGTGTTTTCATCTAAAGTTCAAAAATAAAAATGATCATTTAGAAATCTGATCTATTGGCACCCAACACACCATTCTACACGTTGGAGGACACACTGCACTTCAGCATTGCAATGGCACCACAGAAAAGGTGACGCAGTGTTTAGTGCGCCCCGTCTGGCGAGATATATACTCCACTTGAAATTTACAATCAACTGACTGCAGTGTGTTCTCTGAAGTGTTTGGAAGCCCACCTGGGTTAAAACTCAAGATATGGTAGAAAAATATACTTTTGATGACATTTCTCTAGTTAGTTTCTTCATTAGTGAATTGCACCCATCCATGTAGTGTTTACACATTGTAGTAGCAGTGTAAAAAGACTCAGATCATGATTAGCACTACCACCACAGCAATAAACAGGAGATCACCACACGTGCACACAACATCCGCCTCCTCTCTCACGCTAGACACTTCTGGTTATTTTTCTTGCACTTAAAAATTAATGTTTAATAGTTTCGTCTTTCATTGGCATCATTAGGCATCGTTTTTTATCATATACTCTACAATAATGTTACAATGTAAACACCACAGTACTCATTTACTGTCTTTAAAGTAAAACACAAGGTTACAAGGCAAGTGGCTACGTAAGCATAATTTGAAAAAAAAAAAAAAGGAGAAAGAAAATAATACCACAAGAACAAAACCTTGCAACACATGGCATCAAGTTTGTTCAAATAAAAAAGCTTTAGACTTTGTTCATCTACAGGTCAGGTGACCTTGTTAAAAAGCTGGTGATGATCATTACTTACCCCCCCCCCAAAAGTGTTCTCAGACTTGACTATCATGTTGAACTCTGCACCTTGACACAAGCTACACATGTGGCTGGGGAGGTCAATTCCCCTGTTTTTACATGTCTGCATAACTGCCTAAGATAAAGCACAGTTTGTTCTTGGTTTTAGTGTTCGATATGAGTGACACAACCCCATGTGTGAGAGGACAAGGCGTTTTCAATATTTGGAGGCCTCAAATACATGATAGAGCTGAACCCCAGATATTAGACTGACAGGCAAACATGTGGGCATAAACAATGAGTCCAATAGCAACTGACTCAGGGACTGATGTAAAAAAAGGCAACATACAAAACACTGATATAAAAATGGCTCTAGCATTTGGCCATCTTGATATGGCAAAACCGGTTACTTTGGCCTGGTGCTTAAAAAAAAAAGCTCAATTTGATAATCCATTTTCAAATACTGGGGGAAAAAAACATTTTAATATTATATATTGAATGAGTACAAATGTTGATGAAATTAGGCATCCAGTAAAGGGGGAAAAACACAAGAGGCCTCCAATTTACATTTAAAACAAATTACGATCCCCACATGCCCTTAAACTCTTCACTGACATTATTTATATACAAATTACAGTATAATACATCATTAAAAAATGAGACCCATCTCTAAAAACATACAGGAGCTCTTAATAACAAGAAGAAATCAACTCGTTTAGGTATCAGGTTTCTATGGTAACTTATGGTAAATAAAAAGCAGAGTGACAGTCCCAACACCCTACTCTCTGAGATGGCTTTCCATTGTCCCCTGTTATACCAGTACTGGATGTTACGGAAGTTGACAGATGGGTTGGTTTGCCACATGCACAGCAATTTGTTTTAAAGCAATTAATTTTAAAGCAAGCAGCAATTTTCAAAACTCAACAATATGTACATTTTGTTTTTCATCCGGCATGTTGGAATACTACTTTGAAAGTAGTTTTACTGCAGGCTTCGCCTTTGTGTGTGCTATCAGATTTTTTCTTAAATAAATGTACACAGCAACTGCAGTGTCTTTTATTATTTTTTTTCTCCAACTGTTTATATACAGCAGATAAAATAATACATGTTGGCATGTTCAAAGAGAATAGAGTAAAATCAATCAGAAACGCAACACAAATCTGGAGCTCTGAACAGAGCCAAAAACACATGTGACCAACCCTGTGTCAAATCCACAGTACAACCTAGCCTCTCCTGTCTGCTCTTTTGTCTTATGCACAGTCACCTTGTTCTCTCATTCCTGTTCTTCATCTTTGCCCTCGCTGTGAATTTTCTCTTCTTTCTCTTCTTGCACCCTCTTGACTATTGGCCCTCCGTGGCATCTCTCAGACGAAGGGCAGGATACCATACACGAACACGGCCATGACGGCAGCACTGAACAGGCCAGCGACGGGCACCGTGACAAACCATGCTAGGAAGATGTTTCGGAAGAGCCGCCAATCCACTGCCTTCTTGGAGCGGATCCAACCCACCGCCACCACGGAGCCTACCTATGAGCAAAAGCCAGGGGACCCAATCAGCAGCAGCATGGACCAAGAATAAACATGACAAAATAGTGAAGAGATAAAGGCTACAGGCTTTTTGGCCATCATACACCACAACTTCTGTAATTATCAAAACACATGGCATTATATCTAATATTCATTTGTATTTAAAACTATACTCAAATACGATAAAATACTAAACTTAAATGTAAAATTATGAGTCATGATGACGGTACAAAGCCTGAAGCCTAACTTCTCATTAGTGTTTCCAAGGGCCTGTTAGTAAGGAGATGCAAATGAGAGTTAAATCTACAGAGGAAAATTACTTTGTTTAGAGGTCTGACATCTGCTGTTAAGATGCTCCCCTTCAATAAGAGATGCTATTTTTACAGCAAAAATCAGACTTCCAAAAATTCATTGTACTCACCATTTTCACAGTTAAACGATTACCCCAGTATTTATTGAAAATTAAAAATCGGGCAGTGTGTGGGGTGTGAGCCACATGTGACTGGTTTGAGCTGCTCTTTTAGGGCAACAGAAACATGAGAAAGTGTCAGTCATTCTCCTCCTAAATATGGAAGGTCAACACTGACCAGCCATGCAGTGGGGAAAAAAATGTTATGTTCTAAAATTGATAATCCAATTACCTGCCCCTTTCTCGATACAACTTAGTGCAAACTCCTCACACACAGAGACTGAAACTAGTCACTGCCCTGTACCCCAGACACTACAACAGGAACCACTTCAGTTTGACCTGATGACAATTAGTCTGAATAAAATGGGTCAAACTAAACTGGTGTCTGTTATCACATACTCATTGGTGAGATGATCACAGCAGAAAATACTGGGGGAAAAAAACCAACTGCAATATTTGGCATTTTTTGCTGTGAATCTCCCAAGCACCCCCAAATTAAATACCAGTAGCTGTAAGTAGGTTTACATATTTACAAAGAAATGTATTATTGTATATTTTAGGGAAACAAAGGCATCTGAAAATGAAAAGTCAAAATGAAAATATTGTATGGATGGTAATGGGGATGGTGTAATAATTGATTTTAAGTAAATTTTATATCAGCTTTGGGTCTTATGCAATATTTCAACAGAAATGACAACATACAAATATTTAATAACATACAAATATTTTTGGGGTATTTTGTATCATAATATACATAATATACTTCTACATTATCACTAACCACTAAAATATGAACCTAGATATAGAATTCCAAAAAGCTAAAATATAATAATCCTGCGTACAGGGAAAAATGTATATGCTGGATAACTCTGTCACTGTGCAGAAAAGTCTAACTGTTGTCATTTCCAAAAGAAATTGCATGAGAGCTCAAAGCTGCAACAGCGAGAGTTGTGATTGGTGTTGTAGATTGACAGCTACAGGTGAAGAGGTGTGAGGCTCTCCCTTAACACAGCTTCACTACCAGTGACTCCAATACCTTGCAGTGGGTGGAGCTTATGGGGATGCCCACATTTGATGCAACAAGCACTGTTAGCGCACTCATTACTTCAATGCAAAATCCGCTGTAAAGACAGATGTGTAGAGACACAGAAAGATGAGGAGAGGTGAAAAAGTGGAACACAAGTGTTGGTGGTGCTTGGTGGAGAAGGACAGTCTGTTGCTGGCCAAGCAGTGCATCCACACGCCATGCCAGTGCTTAGGAAACGATGGACGAGGAGGGAATGAAACAGAGGTTAGGTTTGTCATGCTTCCGGTCTGGAACAGGACCTGAAAAACATGGAGGGGGCTCGCATAACACTGCCTTAAGTCTGGCCACATGCTACTAAACCTGATTTATACAGTGTTTACTCAGGCCTTTCCTTATTCCCATTTAATGGACAAAAGTTTGATTTGCTAATAGTGCGTTTCAGCCTGAAGACAATGCAAGCCCCCTCCATCACAAATACAGAGGTTAGGACTCCAGCTGGAGGGCTCTCATCATACCTTGCAGTGCGTGGTACTGACAGGAATTCCGATATTGGAAGCGAACACGACAGTGATTGCAGAGGCCAGTTCAATAGTGAATCCACTGTGGAGGGGGAGGCAGGGGAGAGCAAAGAGATATCCTTCATTGAAATGCTACAGACGTTCAGCTTATGCAACCTTATTGCTGGAATCATATTCAGCCAACCCGAACATTTACAGTAGCTGCTCTACAGCGGACTGCACACAAAACGTAAACAATGACATTTACAATTCATTCCATTTTCAGCTTAAGAGAAGCATGTCATACTTATGAGCTGCAGTGAAATCTATGTTTACTTCATGTATACTCATGGAAACAAATCTTTATCCACTTATTGTAGGGCTGAAAACCTAAATGAACTGCTTTCAAATGACATCTAAACTGATGTAAACTTTATGTAATGACATTTCTCATACATTCCCAATATGGGATAGGACAGCACCGAAACCCCTGCACCCAAACAAATAAAAATTACAGAAAAGCAGCACATTAAACTTGCTTGCGGTGTCATTATGCCTTACATATAAAGGGAAGCTCAGTGTTTCTCAAGAAATGCCATCTAATTTTTAGATTAAAAAAAATTAAATCACAGTTATCACCCACAAATAATACTTCACACTGAGTTCATTAACAATTCCACTTCAACCATGTTTGATTACAGACTGAAGAAGAGCAATACTTCCTGCCACTGTGACCCAAACAAACCTTTTTGTCACATGGACAAGACAGCCCTTAGAATAGCCAAGCAGAGCAAATGTGTCTTGGATCTTGGCACAGTCTTGGCAAAGGCCTGGTGATTGAATGAGGGAGATTAAGAAAGAAAAAAACATGCATACAGAGCAAGGGGGCCAGAACGGAGAAGAAATGTTAGAAGAGGAATACGAATTAGGATAGAGTGAGAGTGATGGTGGGAGCGATGGGAAAGAGAATGATTTAGGGGCTGCCTTAGAAAAAGAGCACAAAAATGTTGAGAGATGGAGAAAAGTAGTAAAGAAAAGTCCAACACAAAGGTTATAGACTCAGAGAAGGGGGAGAGGGCTGCATGAGAAAAGGAAAGGATAAAGGGAACAGTCAGAGGAGTCAGTATGGCGTCCCTCCCTGTGGTTTGAGAGAGAGAGGCCCGGGTCTCACTGTCAACATGGCTACTTCTGTAATCTGCAGTTTCTACAGGCCATACACACAGAGTCACTGATTTAGACTTCAAAATCATTGCACATAGGTATCACCACTCACTACAGGCATTGCCCTTCTTGGTTCAATGAGTCCAGAAGATCTAGTAACGGCACACATACATTATTCCTGGGATTTGACCCAAGGACAATGCAAAGATTAATGTCAAGGACAAGAGGAGTGTGCATCTATACACGACGTGCTTATGCCCTGAAGACGTGAGTGCAGTGTGCTTTATTTCCAAAGGCTATTTGTTCAATTACAATTACATAACAGGTCAATGTGGCATATAACTACAGTTAGTGAGCTCTGACTCTGAGGTCGGTATAATCTATGATAGTTGAACTATAGTGCTGTGTAATAATATACAAATAACATGCTCTGGAATGATCTGGTATGCTCAAGGATAACTAGGAACAAATCTGTAACATGTAATCTCCCATGCCATTTTTCCACAGGCACATCCGTATGGAGACAGTCTCACCTTGAGGGGGTGATGGGGGTCAGGTCCTTGCCCATAGTCTGGATCACACGGCGGCCCCACACCCACAGACCAGCGCAGATGCCTACACCTCCATAAAACAGCAGCCAGACAGGGGTGGCTGCATCCTGCATCACGCCCCCCTGGTCATAGATCATCCACAGTGCCACCAATGGCCCAATGGCATTACTGCACAGACAAATGAAATGAAGTTATTCAGTTTTCTTTTAATGATTTGCAATCAGCAAAACAATTTATCAACACAAGACGAACTAGTTTTCTCTGTTACAATATTACATTTACATTTATTTCAAATAATGATTACCTGACATCATTGCCTCCGTGGGCAAATGAGCCAAAACAAGCTGTAAGAATTTGCAGGAAGTGGAACAGTTGGAACACTTCAGATTTGTCTTTTTCTTCATGATCCTCATCAGTCATGTCGTCTAGAGGCTCGGGCGCAGGATCCCCTTCTTCCGGGAGCCCCTCCAGTTCTGTGGCCAGTTTCATCTCCACTCCTCCCTCATCAGCCTCGATCTCTGCCTCTGCTACAGCGTTGCAGTATGACGAATAACTATCATAACGGATACGCTTCTTTGAGTAAGACACACTGTTACTCCTGCCTCCTCCTTCTCCCACGAGCTTTTCACTGTCGTCACGTGACTCTGTGCGTTTGAGTGGCTGGACGGGCATGCCACATATGGCTGCAGTGTAGCAGGTGTAGCTGTTATTACGGCGTAGCATGCGGTAGTTGTTCTCAGGTTGTCCGGTGTTGGAAGAGGTGCGTTCGTTGTCGTCCATGCGGCCCAGGTGGATCTTGTGAAGAAGATCTTTGTACAGTCCAGAGTCCTTGTGCACGGTGTGGTACACCTGGCCATCACTACGCACGTGCCCATCAAAGCTGAAGCTCCCATTAGACACAGGTGATTTCAGGCACCCATTTGTCATGGAATGGGTCCGTCCTGTATCACAAAACGAAGAAGTTGGTGGTCTGTGGTGCAAAGACAACACTTTTAAATATGAAAAAACATACCATAGACTCTGCCATTTGGCAGGACACTGCTTCCATTGGCCTGGTTACTGAGCTCTCCAGTAGACTCTCGTGTGCTACGCTCAGTGCTCCCAGTCAGAGGCAGCACGGCCTCGTCTGTCCCTTTGGGCCCCGGCAGCTCTTTGAACACGGGGCTCTCCTCTTCCTCCTCTGGGATCTTGTCCAGACTTTCAGAGGAAATCCTGGACAGAGCCTGTTCTTTCTTTAATCGACCTAAAAAAACAGAAGAAACAACACCAAAGTCAGTTGGCACTCATTCAATTAAGTTAGGGAAATTAAGATATAATTTATTTCATAAGCAGTTAATAGTGTAATGATAGTGTAATGTTCTTATTAATATACAGCCATAAACATACTTGCTATTTTCCGTCTCATCCAGGGACAAACAAATTTCCAGACCAACAAAGCACACACCAGTGAGCCAGCTAATGTTATGAGAAAGATTGCCCAAACTGGAAGGCTCTCTAGTCCAAGCACTAAAACAGATAAAAAGAACATCTGTACAACTTATGGTCTTTTATGTTTATATGGGTTATGTAAAACATTTGCAAATACCATCAAAATATTCAGTCATCACTTACAAGGAGCACCAGTATACAGGATGGAGAAGGTGTTAATGCCTATAGTGGAGGCATAAAAGATGGGCAGTGCTCGCAGACCACTGGGAGTAGGATCATCCTGTAAGCAATTAATATTAGAAAGGAATTATCAAAAATTACATGTTACATCTATATATAAATCTACAATATTGTTAAAAAAACACAAACTGCCATAATCAGTAGAAAGAAATACTTAATATGCACCTGTAATGAGTTATATAACTTATTTATCCAACCTTCTACAGCTTAAATATTATCATATAGTGAAAAAAAAAAGAAAAGAAAAAAATCCTTGTTGCACAAAGAAAAAGTATAGACAATGAATACTACAACCCAACATATATTGTTCTGGTTTTCATATACTGAACAACAAGTCCATACCATGCCTATCCCCATTCGTGACTATACAGTAACTGCAGAGAGAACTCTTCCTATTAGTCATAACATAATCCTGCAGTAGTGACCTTAGAGTGATCTACAGCACACCCTTGTTCTCATCGCTCAGACTTGTGTTACATAACTGCAGATATGAAGTTGTTGCCAAATCAAATGCATTTTATCTTTACTCATATGTCAAGTGTAACAGTTGTATTTAAACATATGTCATGTGACTTCAGCTCACCTTGTTGAGGATAAAATGTCTGATCAGCAGGAACAAGAGTCCAGACATGAGTCCAGAAAGCAAAGGGGAGATGAACCAGGATGCAACTAGGGTAAAGAGAATATTGTTACCAAATATGTTATTCAGTAAGTATGAGTATAGATAAAATCAGCATTTCATTTTGACATCTTTGTTGCAGTTTTTGCATAGTAAAAATCTGCATTAAAGTGAAGGTCAAACTGTGGGTGTAAAATGTTGTCACAGAAGTGTTTATAAATGCATTGGGTTCTGTTCTGTATGGGGCAAAATAAATGGCCTTCTGTCTCTTCTAAATAGCCCTGCTCTGTGTAAAATGGTACTGGGAAATGCTGCAAAACACAATTATACTGAAATTCACTTATAGCTCTGGAGTTGTGATGATGCGTTTATGTTTGAACAGATTAAAGGGTAAATATGTTCTGACAATGTGGTGTAGTGTGCATTTTACCAATCTTAACCAGCTGCATCCACTGAACACCCTTGGTGCCAATGGCCACCATGGAGAAGCCAATTGTGGCTCCAACAATGCAGTGAGTACCAGAGATGGGTAGTTTAAGAAATGATGCGATGAGCTGCCACACAGCTGAGCCTGTGAGAAAATCAAACATTTGTGTTCAAGGTTTAATTAATTGTTGAGCATTATTAATATTAACATTATGTTTACCATTTTATCATCATGGAATGGTTTAGATTAGAATTTTAAAGAAGTCATTCAATCTGTGACAATGGTCTGATGGACTACCACTAAACACTCACTCACACACCACATTCATACTGTGGTATGTGGAATGTCTTGCCCGATGACACAACAACAGTGCGCAGAGCAGTAATTAGAACTACGACCAAACAGCCAACTGTTGGTTGCAGAATCCTCTCTCTACCACCTGAGGCACCTCAGGTCCACCTCACCTCAAATAGTTTATTTTCTTGAGTTTAGTAAAATTTGACTAATATTCAAATATGTACGTAAAATAAAATGAAGGAAACTCACCAACCATGGCGCTGACCTCCCCTGCCATGAGCACAGGCACAGTGTTGTTATACAGACTCACATCAATGATGCCTTTCCGTATGGTCTCCCCCACTTTGGCACCTAGAAGCATGGAGCCCAAGGTCTCAAAGATGGAGGCCAGGATACAGGCCTGCTTCAGGGTAACCACTCCTGACCCCACGGCTGTGCCAAATGAGTTGGCCACGTCATTGGCACCGACTGAGAAGGCCAGGACGAAGGCAATGATGAAGCCAATAATGACCATCCACAGATATGACTCCAGATCCATTTTGATGGGATTTATCCGGACACAAAAGAATCAAGAAAACAACAGCTCCCAAAATTTTAGTGTAAAACAAAAAGAAGTGCTCTGTGCGTTTTGAGGAGGACTTGGAAAGCCGGCTCCTTTTCTTCGTCCCCTAGTTGTCAAGAGTTCGAGGGGAGAAGCACAGCTGCTAACTAAACAATTGGAGGTCAGTCCAAAGATGGCAGATTAGTGATGGTTGGTGCAGGGAGCATTCCATATTTCAGAGTGAGACAGCCGGTCCGTAAGATCTTTCATCTACAACACAAACAGACACAAACATTAGCTGCGCCTCAGCCTGGGACAGGTGAAAGGGAGACAGCACAGAGGACATCTCCGAGCAGAACAAATAAATCTTCACCTGTACTTCAAAAGACTGAAGACTTCAAATCAGACATTCACAGACCTGTCAGTGGCCACACTAAAAAAAGCCCATGAGGACAGTGCTGTACTTCTAAATGTTAACACATTGTTAACCTCCCTCCACAGAACTGACCCTACACTAGGCCAAAACACCCTAGACAATGGCAAAAATGATAAGCACTAGGGCCTCATGTAGCATGTTACACAATAGAGTGGTTGTGCACTGCTTTTAAGGCAAGGCAAGGCAAGTTTATTTGTATAGCACAATTCACAAAAGTAATCCAGTGTGTTTTCCAAACAAACAAAAAACAACATTATATAAACAAATCAAAACATAAATAATCATTATAAGATTAACATTAAAAGAGAAGAGTGGAGAGTAAAAAACTTTCAGCCTTGATTTAAATAGTCAAAGTAGAGGCCTTTCTCACATCTTCAGGAAGACCCTTCAGGATTTAGCTGCATAAAACTGAAGTGAGACTCCCCATGTTTAGCCCTGACTCTGGTAACAGGTTGTACCACACCACAAATCATATGCAGAGGACACATATCCCTACAAGGGCAATACCTGTAATAATAACCCTAAAAACTAGGGCTGCATATATTCTATTAAAATCTCACAGTTTAAACCCACACAGAAGCACAACATCTGTCAGAAGAGTGAAATATGAACTGCTAAACTAATAATAATAATAATAATATCTGGAGAGGTCTTATCTACAGACTTAGCAGGTTTTAAACATAGGCCAAGATAAAGTTACTACTACTACTACTACTACTAGGTTTGCCATTCATTTTACAATTATGTTCCAATAGAAATTAACATGGCAACCATCCCGATCATTCAATTTAAAAGTATTTTTCTCACAAATTCATTCAAAGTTACAACTTCATTTTTCTTTCCTACGGGAGTTGTTCAGACTGGTACATTCTCCCAGCATGTCTGTGCGTGCAGTTTGGACAGTAGGGTAAAAGCCATGCGGCAGGTCCATGGCATCCCCTCCAAATAACTGCTCCATCTGGAACAGTTGAGGTCACTAACTAGTCCCATCCGCCTCCACTGAACCACACACTCCCAGAATGTGGTCTCTGTAATTGTTGTCAGAATTAACTGAAATGAGCATAAATTTTAAACAGCCAGTGTAATTACAGACCAAGGACAGTTAGGCCTCTGAAAGTTCCCTGGAGATGCCTTCGCCTACTTGTGGTCAAGAGGTCATAGTTGCAGTTAAACAGAAGGTCGTCTCCCTGGCTAGTCATCAATAATGCAGAGTTATGTCTATCAATATGGCTGCCCTAGAGAGGTTAAATATTTTAATAATTAATAGGAAAAAACATTATAGTAGGTCCAGACAGACCTGTACTCCATCTAGTATATTACATAGAAACTGAACTCAGGAAATAAAGGCGAAAAGCTTACAGACTCAAGGTGAAACAGCAAAATTCATGTAAAAAAAAAAAAAAAGAGTTTCACACCTAACAAGCCATTTTTGCTAAAGGTAATTTTCTGCGTAAGATTTCACAAGCAAAAGAAATGTAATCACATGGTTGAGGTTAGGAATGTCCAATTCAATTTAATTGGGCATACTTCATTAACATTTCTGCATTTCAGAGTGAATAGTTGAGTCCCCACAGTAGTTCAATATTGATTCAGCAGGAACCTTCAGATATTTATTTTTTCTTTAAGAGTCGGTTAAATTCCACTGTGAGGTGCTGCCTACTTAATGAGGTTTACAGTCAGTATATTGACAGTTGTAGTTGAGGCTAAAAGGACCGTGTCAATGTTTAATCTAGGAACCACTGGTCCACACAATGGCCCACCAAAGAGTGTTGATTTCACAGCGAAAAAGCAAACACCAATAACTCCAAAGCAGGCATTAAGATCAGCACCCGGCATGACTGTCACCACACCGAAGCATCTAGATCTGTTTAATAAGGTGAACCATCTTCTAAACAGGGAAACAACCTGACAGCTGCAGCTGACACTTCGCAGGGTAACACATGAAGACCAGATCACATGCCAACACACACACACACACACACACACACACACACACACACACACACACACACATACACTTTCTATAGGCATTTTATAATACTAAACTACTTAAAGTAGCTAGTCAATTTGCATTTAAATAGAAATGATATGCATTGGACAGGAAAGAACATAAGAATTGATGCAGAAACAGTCTCCAAGTTTCAGTAAATACAAATTACATTACTGTAGAGACTGGATCATTTATTCTTCAACGTCAGGATCAGCGCTACCATAGGGGCAGCTATAGGACAAAGCAGCATTATTTAACATGCTGATGGCTGGCTGCAGTCAACTTAAAATATGTTCTGATCAGATCAAAAAATAGACAAAAAAGGGGGAGGGGCAAAAACTCTCAAAACTATTCAGTATCTCTATATACCTGACCCCAAGTTCATACAAAAATTACTATTTATGTGGGGGAAAAGTACTAGGAAAAAAAACACATTATGCTTATAGATCATAAGCTTAATCTACCGATTAATCGACTAAACGACTGAAGGCCTACAGCCCTCTAATGGCAGCAGCAGGTTTCAGTGCACACAACACTGTCCTGATGCTTTTGACTTGATCTCCCTCATTAGGCAAAAACGTGCACTGACAATGAACATTCTGCAAATGTATTTTTTATGACAACACTTTAAAACATTGAGGCAGCCTGGAAAGTATATTAGAGTCAGAATAACCGTTTAATGCAATTTAGTCAGTGTCGCATCCAAACAATGTTGTTTATCAGAATGGAAATGAGTGGGCAAGGAGTTTAAATAATGCAAACTGCTTCACAAACAATACCAATAACTGCTTTTTGCAAAATGTGCTTGCAGTTGCTACAGTCAGGGTAAGAATGTTAGGCAAAGAACAACATTTTTAACCTATTCAGATATGATATATTATATTATATAATATTATCTATTCTATTCTCTATTCTATTCTATTGTAATCTCTTCTATTGTATTGTATTTTATTGTATTGTATGTTTGATCCTCACACATTTTGAGTGACTTTAAGAAATCCCAGAGTAGACATGTTGAGCAGCTTGTTTTATGCAGGCATCAGGAGTTCTAGGAACAGAAAACATAACAGAGGATGGGAGGGCTGTATCAAGCTTTTGTGTTTGAATCGTGTTTATAAATAAATAGAAGGATGTTATAGGAACAACACAAGACATCCTTTATTATTCACTCAACAAGTTGTTTCAGTAAATTTGATCAGATACTGCAGAACTGCACAATACTCCCTGACAATCAATTCTTCAAATACTATTTTGCATTTTTTTTTTTTTTGCATTTGCTCTAACACTGATCTTAAAATGAGTTTAATTGTACATTTGTCATGTCTTTGATTTATTATTGACCTCAAGAAGAAGAACCACACAATTTTCATAAAACTTCTGTCAAGTATATTCATTCTCACATCATTTTCAAACATAAAAAAAAAATCTGTGTTTATTACTTATTTATTATTATTTAAACTGAAATAACAAAGTAGAGTACAAAAAAATGAGGATTCAAAGACAAACAACTCAAAAGCAAAGGTTTAAAATAAAAAAACAGACTGCTCGAGCACAGCGCCCGCCTCACTACTCGACCTTCCCTGCATCCACTCACATGCAGCACTCTCAAATATCCTCCCTTTCCGTTTCAAACACTGCATTTCTTAAACTGAATAGTACAACACCAGTGTTTGGCAATTTTTACTGGTGCATCTCTAATTATGTGCAGTGCAAAATGCATTAATCTGCCTGAAAAGCCACTGCAGTACACAGCTGGTGCCAAACACAAGCTCCACTCCCCCCACCTCAGAGCTCTGCCCCCTCAGTATATGAGCGTGTATGCCGGGAGCTACACAAACTGAACATACATACATGCCGCGTCAGATGATGACTCACAACAGCCTCCTGCCAGCACTAATTGTTAAACCTCAAGCATACACAACTGCAGACAGCTCCCAAGGACACACATAACTATGCTAACAGCTACATTAGCAGAGCAGGATTCAACTTACATGCTACACAAGAAATATCAGATTGCCTATGTGCACTCACCGTTATGCAGACCGGAAAGTGGTAAGGATAAATGTGAATGTCATGCACTGAATGGCAACACAAAGGCTGCGAGGTCGTTCACATTTCCAATTTTATGCGACTTGTATGCGATCCCCTGTGTGAACGTTAAACGGCCCGAAAGTGTCCCGCATGCACACTGGAGGACACCATGACGTCAACCGCAGCAAGCGTGCTCTGTGTTTACGGACATGGACATGAACATTGAGCACCTGGCGATTTTAAAGTTCCACTCGTACCGGAGCCAGAACATGAACAGCTTACTTGTTTTAAAGAGGAGATTGAGAAGCAGAAGGACGAGGTTTTTGGCCGTGGCGTTTTGTGGGACAGCAGCAGCGACGTCCGTTGAAAGGAACGTGTGGATGCGGCGACGTAGCCAAGAGTGGTGAGTGGCGATGTGCTTCGCTTCAGTGACACGGAGTTCATTAACAATTTTCGCCTACTTCAGCACAGAATAGTGACATTTGTGGCTTTTTGATAACGTGTAGGTGGAATGAATGTGCTTTGGCCGTTCACACTGAAGTTGCATGTCAAAAGATCGGATATGTATTGGTTTCAGGAACACATATCCACGTGGCCTGGGTCGCATTTGAAAAAATCGGATGTGTTTCGTTCAGACTGTCATTAAAAGATTGGATACAGGTCACATAGAGGCCAAAAAAAATCGGATTTGGGTCACTTCAGGCTGCAGTCTGAACGCAGCCATAGTAATGGTGAGATGCCAGTGTACGCAATGTGATCAAGTGACATGCGTTAGAACAAATAGTTGATGACATGGGTTGAAATATGAGAGGT